TGCTGTGTTCCTCCAGCTCCACACTGTTGCACTGAGAACAGATCTGCTGTGACCTGGTCTTACCTCCACACTCTAGGGACTCCAAAATCTGATTTCATTGAAGGTAGCTGATCATCTCAATAGTTAGTCATCTCCTTGAACACGTATGTTTGAACCATAAATAGTCCCACAGATCTGACCATGTAAAAATGAAAGATGCTGTCTTCAGTGCTGGGAATCCTCGTGCCCCGGGCTCTTCTGGCATTCTTGACACTGCAGAGACGATCCCTGTTATGGCAAAATCTGGAACTAAGTCTGGAGTTTCTGCTAAATCAACTATTACTCTGGATAATATGGCAGCTATGATTGGAGTTTAGCACATCTGAAAAGATTAGCCTTTTCTTTATCTCCTGAAATACATTGCTTAGCTCAGTACCCCAAAAACCACAACACTTTTCAAAGTTCTCTCAAAGTGATTGTAGTTATGTTTGTGATGAATTTCCCAACCTGATTGACCATAAATTCATAGAGTTTCAGCATGGAAACAGACCCTTCGGTCCAACTAGTCTGCACTGACCATGTTCCCAAACTAAACTAGCCCCAGTTGGCTGTCTTTGGCTCACATCCCTTCCAACTATTTCTATTAATGTGCTTATCCAAATGTGTTTTACGTATTGTAATTGTTCCTGCATTCACCACTTCCCCTATCAGAATATTCCACACACGACCTACTCTCTATGTAAAAAAATGCTACCCCTCATGTTCTTTTTAAAACTTTCTCCTCTCACATTAAAAATATGCCCCCTTGTTTTGAACTCCCCCAACCTAAGGAAAAGACCCTTGCTCTTCACCTTATCTATGCACCTCATGATTTTATAAACCTCTAGATGGTCACCCCTCAACCTCCAGTGTAAAAAGCCCTCGCCTATCCAGCCTATTTTTATAACACAAACCTTCCATTCCCGGCAACATCCTGGTAAATCTTTTCTGAATGTTGTTCAATTTAATAATATCCTTCCTATAATAGGGTGACCAGAAGGGCACACAGTAGTCCAAAAGAGGCCTCACCAACATTTTGGACAACCTCAACATGATGTCCCTACTCCAAAGCTCAAAGTTCTGAGCACTGGAGCCAACTGTGCTAAATGCCGTTTTTATCGTCCCACCTGTGATGCAAATTTCTAAGCATAATGTACCTGTACCCCTAGGTCTCCCTGTTCTACAACACTACCCAGGATCCTACCATTAATTGTACACGTCCTGCCCTTGTTTATTTTATCAAAATGCAATACCTCACATTTATCCAAATTAAACTCCATTTGCCACTGCTTAGCCCGTTGACCCAGTTGATTGAGATCTCTTTGTAATCTTAAATAACCTTCATTGTCGACTATACCACCAAACTTACTAGCCATGCCTCCTATATTCTCATCCAAATCATTTATATAAGCAACAAACAAAGTGGACTCAGTACTGTTCACTGTGGAACATCGCTGGTCACAGGCAACTAGTCCAAAAAAAACGACCTTCCATCATCACCCTCGGTTTCCTACTGTAAAGCTAATTTCATGCCCAACTGGCAAGCTCTCCCTGAATGCCATGTGATCTAACTTTACTAATTAGTCTACCATGTGGAACCTTGTCAAACATTTTATTAAAGTCCATGTAAACAATGTCTACTGCTCTGCCCTCATCAATTTTTTTGATTAGTTCCTCAAAAAACTCAATCAAGTTTGTGAGACATTATTTCCCCTGCACAAAACCATGCTGACTCCCTAATCAATACTTTCCTCTGCAAATGCATGTAAATGCTATCTATCAGAATCAGTTCAATTTACCTGTCACCGATGTCAGGCTCACAGGTCTATATTTCCTAGGCATCTCCTTACAGCCTTTCTTAAAGGGACAATATTAGCCACCCTCCAGTCCTCCAGCACCTCACCCATGGTTATAAATGATACAAATATTTCTGCTGAGGGCCCTGCAATTTTTTCCCTTACTTCCCTAACTTCTGAAGAATCCCTGAAATCATTGACACATTTCGGCTTTGGAAAGTCACTGATGATTTTTGCTGTTTGGGGATCAACCAGTAGGCCATTCTGTTTTATTATGTGTCTCATGAATTCTGCTTGGGAACTATTGTGAGCCCCAAGCATCACCTAATTGCGTCTGTGTGACAGGTATTATAACAGCTCTGAGCACCATAACATTGAGCTCCTCTTTTAATGTTCTCCATCAACATATGTATGGTACACTGCTGGGAATGACACATTTGCTCAGCAACTTAAGCAATGCAATGTGGTATTCATTTCTGAGTTTACTAAATTCATGACAGAGCTACAGGAATGCTGTCCCATTGTCTTGGTGCATGACTTTGTTTACTCTCTTCAGGAAACCAGCCGAGTTTCCAGTTCAATAAAGATGTTCTTTGATTGTGTAGAATATAGAAACGCTCAATGATCTCTTGTCCCTTGTGGTAAAGTGTGATATACATGAAGAGGATAGACATAGCCTACATGAAGAAGATCTGTGCCCCATGAATCTTGCAATTAAAATCTTGATAACTGGATACTTGCAGTTTTCAACAATTCCAAAAGGTCAGCCAGGACGATAAACAGCCACACCTGTATCCAATCTGAAATTTCCTTTATTGCCTTTAATTTCTGAAGTAACTGGCAAAAATTTTGATCTTTGACTTCATGAAGGGAATCCGCATTGTTATTTCTTTCTTCATTTGTAATTCCCAGACTTTTGAACTTTATCAAATATTCTTTAATTGTACATTTATGTTTACAGAACAGTTTGAACTGTCCTGTCCTTCTGCATTTGAGGCACTTGGTGTCCCTCTGCTGACCAACCCTTGTTTTCTGTGTTGCTGTCTGAAGCCACAATGTGAGCTCTTTAAAATGACTGCTGCAAGTTTCCCAGTTTTTGCTCCATTTTGGTGGTTTTTTTAAGTGGCTGCTTTTGGTCTAGCCAACACATCCAAAGCCTTAGTACTTCCAAGGATTATGAGCCAATATCAAGTCCATTCAGTTCACGCTTTCTTATACATTGATCCACTTGCTCAAGTATTTTGCAAATACAGAGGAAGCTGGGGAAACTCAGAAGTTCCAGCAGCATCTGTGGAGAGAGAAGCAGAGTTAATGGTTTGACTCTGAAATGATTCTTTTTCAGAATTTTTTTGTCCTAACAAGTCTTAATAAGAGTTAGGCTGGCTTTGTCAGCAAATAATCAGACAGCTTTTCTTTGCATCCTCCAATGAGGATTTGGTGAAGACTGAGTTTGTTGTTCAAAGCACCATATCAGCATCAACTAGCTAACTTACATGGGATCTCATTGAGACCTTAGATTTAATCACGCTTATTTAGTTACAAGGTGCTGTTTTGCATTAAAGTATACTTTAAAACCTTTTTATGACTGAAGTGTATAATCTACAGTTCACATGTAGGGCGTATTGTTTTACTAAGCTAGATAACATCCACACAGACATGAGTAAGTTGTTCTACTTACTGAGAATAGTTTCTGACAAAGCAGATGATAAAGTTACTGACATGGGAGCTTTGAGTACAATGAGAATTATCATTGGACCTTCAAAATAATGTTGATCTTTAGCCAAGGTTACCATTTCTTGGGAGACTTTTTGACTGGTTTTGACCCTTATTTGAAAGATTGATTTTAACCAAGCCAAGTAATGTTCACAAGAAATGCTTTGACAATCATAAGATTCAGAATTTGGGCACTTGTGGTGCAGTGGTAATGTTCTTATCACTGACCCAGGAAACCTGGGTTCAAACTCCACCTGCTCCAGAGGTGTGTCATAACATCACTGGTTGATGAGAAATATCAAAGATTCAGAATAATTTAATGAAATATTCCTTCTGATTTCACTTCAGCCTTTAATCTTCAAAGCATGATACATTAATCTGTGGAACTCTCCAATTAGGTTTTTCTTTATTATGTACTTATATCCCAACTGCCCAACATTCTACCTTCCAATTTTTTCATTAGTGGGGGTGACTAATGAGTGGGACATCAACAGTAGACCAACTGAAGCCATCAAGTAGCCAATTAATTCCCATTTTAAAATGTCACCCCACCACTGTTGAAATTTAACTGTTTGAGGAATGAATATTAGTTTGCAAATTATCACTGGGTGATGCTGTAGTGAATTATGCAACATGGATAGATTTTTTTTAAGTTTTCATCAGCTTATCAAGAAGTCAAAAAAGGGAATGGGTGGCACGATGGCTCAGTGGTTAGCACTGCTGCCTCACAGTGCCAAAGATCTGGGTTCAATCCCAGCCTTGGGTGACTGTCTGTGTGGAGTTTGCACATTGTCTGTGTGGTGTTTGCACATTCTCCCTGTGTCTGTGTGGCTTTCCTCCAGGTGTTCTTGTTTCCTCCCACAGACCAAAGATGTGCAGGTTAGATGGATTAGCCATGCTAAATTGTCCATAGTGTCCAGGAATGTGTAGATTAGGTGGATTAGCCATGGGAAATGTAGGGTCACAGGGATAAGGTAGGAGGGTGAGCTAGGGGGCACTTGTTGGGCCAAATGGCCTGTTTCCACTCTGTGGGGATTCTATTGAAGGAACTACAAAGACAATTGCAGAAAAACCAGGTTATGAGCAATGGAATTTCTATTAACTGTGTGAGCACCGACTCTGACTACAATGAGGAAATGACGAAAGAAAGATACTATCTTGGGGTAGATATTGGAAATTATTGGTAAACGTTAGACAATATCTAGATTATAGATATGCAAAGCAGCGCATTTCTTGTGAAAGTTTAGAATGCTTGAAGATTCGTGGTGAAAGAATTTGTCCCAGTGTGTCATTAATTGGTATTTCCCATTTCCTCCCAGTGACTTCATTCTCTTCTGGGGTCTGCACCATGTATAAAAGGAATGGACAACATGTGAAACAGGCACGGTAATTGGAGCAAGGAACAGCAACCAGAACTTCCCCAGAGCTTCAAAGCAAAATGCGCATCATCTACCTCCTTCTGTTCAGCTGTGGTGTGACTACACTTGAAACATGCCCTTTAGGAATACTTCATGAAATTAAGAAAAGTATTCATGAGTTGAAGAATTTATCAGTGAGTTTAATATCTGTCATCTGTAATTAACAATATATTGCATAAATATTTCAAGTATGCCCATTGACATTTAATATTTTAGCTTCTTTAGTCATTGTATATACACTTTATAGAAACTGCCTGGATTTTTTTAAGCTACAATTCCTTGTCTGTACCTTGTTAATGAATTCTAATTGGACTTATGTTTTATTTTTGTAGCATCCGGGAAATCTGTTGACTCCAAACGTGATTGGGGTAGGCAACTTCATTCTTTATATCTTCTCATAAGTCTGAATTTAACGTTTATTTTGAGATACTCTTCAAGGTTTCAAACTGATCAGGCATTTCAGTCTGAATTTTTACTTTGCAAAATTGCTGCAGCATGATAACATCTCTTTTAATAGATTAGAGATCAATTTGTTAAAATGTTTTGTTCATGTTAAAACCTTTATTGACAGTGTTTGCTCCTGCTCCAATGTAGCTCTTGATTTCAACGTGATATTGAATAGTGGGCCATGTTACCTTCTTTATTCATTCTGCATGTCAGGCTGGATATAGAGGTACTCTTTCCAATTCCTAGGCACTTAACTGCGGCATTGTCAACCTGAAATAGTAATGCCAATATCCCAACTTTGCATTTTCCTCCTCCTGTTAGGGTTTTACCTGGTGGCTATACCTGCTGAATCAAAGTTCATAACTTGATCCATGTGCAATAGGCAAACGGTCTCTGCAGTCACAAGAAGAAACCAATTGTCTATCCAAGTTATTGAACTAAAGACCAAGAATTCAATTTCAATTGAAAGTTAGGTCTCTCAAGGCTCTCTCTCGTGTAGTGTGTATGAGACATGGATCGGGGAGCGCAGCCAATTTCTATTCAAAAATGCATTATTTTGCGGTAATAACATCCCTCATTTAATAAGAACAAGATAAAAAGAAAATAATCAGCAACCTAAAGAATTGTGGGAATATGCATCCAACTGGGAGGCATTGTGGTAATGTCACTGGGCAAGTAATCCAAGACTCCAGGCTAAAGTTCTGGGAATATGAGATCAAACCCACCATGGAACTAGGCTAAATTAGAATTCAACTTTAAAAAAATCTGAACTAAAAAGCAGCTAATCTGGTTCAGCAGTTTTCTTTGCTAAGGAAATCTGCCATCCTTCCCTGGTCTGATCTGTCTGAGAGTCCAGACTCACAACAATGTGATTGCCTTTTAACTGGTGTGGGAAAATTTGAGGTAGGGAATTAAGTGCTGGCTTAAATATTGACATCCAATTTTTATGAATGAAAAGAGCGGCTTGAATCAGATAAAAAAAGACAATGGCAATATTAAAGTAGCAGCTAATTGCATCTATTGCAGTGTCTTATTTTCAATGGAATGTTAGCTTTCAATACTGAAAAATTAATTTCTGGTTTTTTTTACATTTAGGGTGTAAACTGCATTAAAAAATCAATTGAATTATTCCATGAAGGACTAAATTCATTGGATAGTGAAAATGAAACTCTAATAAAAATAACTTCAAATTTAATCAGTCTGAAGAAAATATTCAAGGTAATTATGTTTATGTTTCTTTATGTTAGCAAATAAATGTTCATAAATTTCTTCATACTTTATGTTTATCTTATACATCATTATGTCTATGAGCTAAATATAAGCAGTGAGTAATTTTTTTAGCCACTATGCTTGTTATTGGTCCAAAAGTAGTGAAACATTACTTGACACCCACATAACACAAAAGCCCACGTTCTATCCTGATGCATTTCTGAGTTATTTGATGCCATTCAGTGCAGCAGTTATGATGGAACGATGACTGGAAGAGAGGGAAAGTGGAAAATGTGCCTGAGTCTCCGTTCGCTATCCCATGATCACAGCTGGAATTCTGCAACTGTGTAGATGTGATTTGAGAACAGGATGGATTCAACTGTGAGATAGCAAGAACTGCAGATGCTGGAGTCAGAGATAACAAAGTGTGGAGCTGGAGGAACACAGCAGGCCAGGCAGCATCAGAGGATAAGAAGGGTCCCTGACCTGATACGTCAACTTTCCTGCTCCTCTGATGCTGCCTGGCCTGCTGTGTTCCTCCAGCTCCACCCTTTGTTATCTCTGGATTTTGACTGTATTGCCTTTTGTGGTTAAACAGCATTAGTGGGCAGCATGAGTTTACATTAACATTTGGGCAAAATAGAGGAGAACTATTGGTTTAATGGTAACATGAGCATAACTTGCCATCTCAATGTGCCTAACAGAAGATTGCAGAAGTAAATAGTTTTGTCTTCGAATGAATGAAATGCTTAATCCTTTTTCTGAACTCATTTTCAGAATCGCCACGCTGATTGCCCATCAATTTCCACAAGGAATTTAGAATTGAAGAGTTTCATGCGAAAATTTAACAATTTTGTATCGTGGTTAATTAGTGCCAAATGCAAATAGGAGCCAGAGGAGTCTGAGGAGAAGCAAGCCACTGAGTAATTTTGCCTAATAACTTCCTGAAATTTTCTTGGCTGCAGTTTCATTATCATCAGTGCAAATTAATATTTTACAAATTTCTATCATATTTCTAAATTTATGAATGAAGTCTGAAGATGTGTAGATGTTTTGATATACATGATGTATGATCCATAAATATGAAAGCATTGCATTGAATTTTTCTTCTACTAATTGTAAAATGTTAGATTCAAGCACTCAGCTATGTTAGTAATGCAGCATTTTAGAATTATCCACCACACTCTGTTTAAATTAAATAGTAGTTGGCACAGCCCCAAAATTCTAGAGAAGAAGGAATAGAGTGAGTTTTGTTAATGCTTTGTTCAGCAATTGAACAGCAGGGAGGCTTGGCAATTTATATTGTTTCTCATCCTTGAGTGCATTATGTCCAGGTTTGAGATCTCCCATCTGGAACAGTCTGGTGCTGTTCTTATTTTCTGACTTGCCTTGGCATCCCTACCTTTGAAGTAGCCTGCCAGAACAAACCTTTCCCAGGAACTTTGAAACAGGGTCTGTAGCAAGTGGGAAATCTGCTATGCAGCACCTTGACAGGCTGGGCAAGAATTGCATTAACTTTTAGGAGTGTAATGACCCTGCTGTTGAAGTAATTCAAGAATTAATGCTGATGCAGCACAAGTGCTTAATGATTCAGGGCTGAGATGGCGCATCATTCATGATGACCTTAATAGTATTTTTGCCCATAATATGCAAATTCTATGATTTAAAAATGATTGGGAGCTGGATTTAGAAAAAAAATGTTTACCAGAATCAAAAGCTCAGCTTTGGAATGCCAATGTTTAAATTACAAATTATATAACTTATCTTCCTGAGGAATTTTATGATAGATCAATATGTTTAAATTACATTTAAGCTTAGAGAAAAGGTGGATAATGCTAAAATACATTATCAAATAAAGCAAGATTTACTGAAATGCTTCAGCTGAACAAAATGGAGAGGCATAATTATTGATTGATTCCATTTCAGCAAAAGAAATATGTACTTGTAATCATTTTTTCTGCTGTTAATTAATGTATATGTATCGATTGTTTGTGTGTATTTTGTTGTTAACACTAGCTTCAAAGGAAACTTTATATCTCTTATGCTCATCATAGTGATACACTGGGCAAAATAAGGGCTTGAAAACATCTGCGCAGAAACAGCTGATGTTGGTATCACAACATCAAAATTTAACACAATCCAGCACAATTTCTTTAGGCAGGAAGTCAAACTGTGGTCTCATTGACCTACACAGGAAAACACATTGATATTTGAGCTGGTGGAAATGCAGAAGAGTTGGATATAAAGTTTGTGAAAATTATGAATAGTAATTATTAATTTATTTATGGTTAAATGCTCTATTAAGGCTGTATTCAAAGGAAGCTACTGCCTGATAGTGTGGCATATAACAGAAAACACTTCATTGGTCTTGTTAATTTAATATTTATTCATATTTATTTATGCTGTGTTGCAATTATTTCTGATGTTTATTATATTAGAAAAATAAACTATTTGTCAGCAATGCAAATTGTGTGTATGTGAAATGTTGATTAATAGACCTTTTAACTGAGCATTTTGCTAGGATCTTGGTCGAGGTTAGTAATTTTTAAAAAGAATTTTCACTCCACAATTATAAACTAAAAAGACCTTGCACTAATTCACGTATTTTAAAGGGAAACAATTTTTTAACTGAAAAATGTTAATGGTAGAGCATTTATTCTTTAGAACACATTTTCAAACAGTACTCTGCCTGTTCTGCTCTTAATTTAAATGGAGAGCTCCTTTTTACATTAGTTTCTTGATGTCCACTTAACTATTTTGAACCAAACCAATGTATTCCTCAGCTCCATAGTACTTGGTGTTTGTTTTCCTTTCACAATTATCTTCCAACATGAAGGCTTTCCTGCAGTAAAATCTTTTAGCACTATTTCAACACCTTAAAAATTTGAAAACCCCCAGTCTGAACGTAAATGCTACTCACATTCTTGTAGAGTGACTCCAAGCCGGAAACACCCTTGGTTCGTGATGTTCCTCTGTTATTTGTTCTGGCTGCTGGGAGATTCTCTGTCTGCCTTCTCCAAGCTGGTTATTGATGACTCCATGCAGCTCTGATATACGAGAAAAAAAACACCTTCAAACCCCATAGATCATCTTCATAGTGACACGATGCACCTAGCCTGTTGTCAGATTAAAAAAAAATTATCTCAAACATCAAACCTTCCCTTTGATCTGAGAACCATATATATACTTCAAAATGTTCCACTGTTTACCTTGAAATGCTTCTTTGGTTTGGAGAATGAATAGATCACTCGGCAACCGCACCTATACATACCTCTGGCTCACAATTATATCTGATGAGTACGGACTATCTGCACACTGGCTCAGTGGTTAGCACTGCTGCCTCACAGCACCAGGGACCTGGATTCGATTCTACCCTCAGGCGACTGTCTGTGTGAAGTTTGCACATTCTCCCCGTGTCTGCGTGGGTTTCCTGCCAGTGCTCCGGTTTCCTCTCTCAGTTCAAAGATGAACAGGTTATGTAGATTGGCCATGGGAGTTGCAGGGATAGGGTATAGGCGGTGGGTCTGGGTGGGTTGCTTTTTGGATCGTCGGTGTGGACTTAATAGGCCAAATGGCCTGCTGCCACACTGTACTGATCTATGATTCTATGTCCATCCTTTCAAGAGATAAGTAGACAGGTCACTACAATTCCAGGTATGAAAACTGCTCGCTGTTATGACAGCTAGTTAAGAATATTTCCTCTTCAACCTCCAAATCAAGGCCTATCTGACAAAGTACACCGACCAATCTTGCTTTCATGTGTGCCACATTTAAAATCAGTTTTCCAAACCAGAATGCTATCTTATAAACCAAAACTTAAAAAAGAGTCATAGAGTATTTCAGCATGAAAAGAGGTCCTTCAGCCCATTGAATCTGCGCTGGTCATCAAGTACCTATCTACTCTAATCCTACCTCCCACCACTTGGCCCATTGTTTTTTTTTATGCTATGGCATTTCAAGTGTTCATCTAAATGCATTTTAGATTTTGTAATGGCTCCTGCCTCTCTCATCCTTTCTGGCAGTGAGTTTGAGATAGCCACCACCTTCTGGGTGAAGCAATTTTTCCCTCAAATTCCCTCTAAACCTCCTGTCTCTTAAATATATGCCCCCAGTAATTGACCCACCTGTAAGTGGGAGACATTTACTCCTATTGGCCCTATCTATACCCCTGATAATTTTTTAGTCCTTGATCAGGTCACCCCTTAGCCTTCTTTGTTCTAAAGAAAACAATACCAGCCTATCTAGTCTGTCTTCATAGCTGATTTACTTCCGCCCCATCAACATCCTGGTGAATATTTTGTGCACCGTCTCCAGAACATACTTCTTGTCCTGTGGCGACCGAAAATGCACACAGTATTCCAACTGAACAATCCTTAAACATATTAATAATAAAATTATGCATTTGCATCAATTTAAAATATGGTCATAAATACATGGAAACCTCAAACAAAAGAAGCAAATCCATTTGCACCTCAGAGTTCCCAGTAACAATATTCCATGATATAGAACTGCATGTGATAATTGAGGTTCCACACAAGCACAACCCTGTAGATGACTGAGATCAGCCGTTAGCTAAGGGTAATCATTGTTAATGTTGCAGTCTTGTCATTTCTCATTTCTTGGAAAAGTGCTCAGTATGAATTAGCCTGAATTTTCTACACTGGAGTGACCTACTCAAATCATTTGTCTCAGTCCATTGTTGCAAAAACTGAGCTAAAGTAAACTGGAACTGATGAAATACTGAATTGGCAAAATCTAATTATTTCCTTTCTATGGAAATAAATTGAGGTGGTTTCTATGACTAATCAAAACCTTTGGCAGAATGCCTTCAGCAGCACAGGTCTCAAACTCTTGAATTCATACGAACATATGAGTTAAACATAGGAGACACTTGAGTCTG